CTATGCCAATCGTAAGGGAGGGATACAATTCCTATTCAAAAATTTAGTTATCCTCAATTACATAGCCGTGCTATGTATTCACAACATGTTCTTTCACATTATTTTAAGGGAGGGTAAAGGGAGGGTGTATTGATCAATAGAGCACTCTGATAATTCATTTCTTGATTTAAAATACAATTGTGACATTTGGATATTTCTTTTGTTTTGTGTAATAAAAGATGGTTTTAACACTTGTTGATTCTACTTCCCATTTATACCTTTCGGAATATTTGAAGTCTCAAATTAATTCCGAAAGAACATTAAGGTTCCGAGAGAGTAAAACTACGTTTATTTCATAAACTTCGCAAATAATTATTCGAAATGTTTAGTTTATATGTTAAAAGTGGAATCAAGAATAAACTACATTTTGGAAAGGTCTCTTTCGAATACTCTTTCGCACAACATTCTTCCATTAAATCTGCTCACTCTATTAGTTTGATAGGTGAGATAATTTCTCGAATCTCTCAATTCGAAACCATTATTTCCCAACAATTCCCACAAGGCATGAGTACTATCAGTCATGGCATATGGAACTGCATACGAATCATCAGTTTGACTCATATCCCTCGCCCAAATCAAATTTAATTCGAAATCTTCAAAGACAACTTGAGCAATTTGTTGACCTTCCAAATATTCTGAATTATTTGGATAAGAAACTCCAAATAATTCCTTAAAAACTGATGGAGCAATTCTCAATGCTTGGAAAACATCTTTTGGTCCAATAATTTCTCTCACATTAATGTACTGTTTTGTTGACTTTTTTGTGTGAACCTTATTGACCTTTCCTCCAATCACTGGAATGGAAACTGGATCTTGAATCATTGGAGAGAATGATCCAGGAGGTGGTGGAGTGCCTCCTCCTACTTTGAAAGAACTGTTTATTCCAGGAGGTGGTGGAGTAAATCCTTGAGAAGTACTAATAATGCTATTATGGCTTGGTGGAGGTGGTGGAGGCATTTGTTGGTTGACTTGTTTTTTTGAAGTTGGTTTTGGGTTGTGTCATGTTATTGGACTCGTATTTATAGAGTTTATCATGATAACATGGTACAGTTGGCAAAATGGAATCAGAAATCACGGTTAAATGAACTCCAAGGTTCTTTTGTTACTTTGGGTTGAACTGGAAAGAAGAAGAACAGAGGTGCAACACGGTAATGGACTTGAATTCTAGAATGAGTTCCCACCAAAAAACAATTAACAAAATGTTATATTGCAAATTAATAAAAACAAGATTGAGAGCATGTAATTATACTAATGGGTATTAAAGCTCAGGGACTGTTTCATCTTTGAGGTGATTCAGCCTTGGTACCTGCTTTAATGGTATTTCTCCAAATAAAACAATAAAGAAACCAATAGGTAGAAGCTCACTCAACATATTCTTCATCCAAAGGATGAGGTATGTTGCTTGAAATGCTGAACAAGTTTCTGCAATCAGATTAAAAACTTATTTTGCATTTGGAGTTGTTCGTATAATGGACAAGTTTATTTTCTAGATGAAAACTCAACTATTCGAAAGGAAGTCTCAGATTTAATGACAACATATATGAGACAGTTTTATTTCAATGGTGTTGATAGTTTGAATCAAGGATTCAAGATTTGGAAATCCTATCCACAACTAAAGAGGATAGAGAGAAAAGAAATGACAAAAGAAAGGAGCTTATTCTTCATATAAATATGATTCCTCACTTCATGATATGAGGAGGGATTGATATCATGACTATTTGGAAGTGTTGTACAAATTTTGCACACTATCTGAATTGAAATAAGGAAGAAAGAGTTAAATCTTTAACCACCACACAAAATATGACTTTTGGCTCTGGTTTTGCTCTTGTTGTTCACCTCAAACACCTTTCTCAACATATTCTATATTTATGGTAGTATTTTATTCGAATAATTGCCTGGAACAGTGGAACAAGGTTCCTTACTCATCATGATCAAAATCATGTCTTTGTAATATGAAATTAGGAGCAATTTTACAAAGTGAATGGTAACATTCGAAGTTTTGAAATAAACCATTCGAATTGAGATGACAAGGAAATATTAGCAAAATGCAATGCCACCAAATGAAAAATATTTAATTGTAAATAGCAGCTTGAACAACTTCTCTGGCAGGATAACTGGACTTGGTAGAACTTCCAGGATCATTGACTGAGAAAGTTTGAGTACTTGGATCGTAACCTGTGGCCAAAACCCAGTGTCCACCATTCTTGACATTGAGAATGACAATGTTTCCAGCACAGAGCTTTTGAGAAATAGTTGAAGTTCCCTTAACCTTACCATGATAGGAAATACCAAACTTGGATGCAGCACCCCAAACAAGATAATTACCACTCAATCCTCTATTTGATTTCAACCATTGTGTGAATTGACCTGGATTCATGCTTGTCTTACCACGTCCATTCAAAGCCATACACAAAGAAGTGATTAAACATCCAGAATTACAGATTGACTTGGAGCTAATTAATTGAGAACTCCATGATTGACCACATTGTTTGAATGATGGATATCTATTTCCAAAATTAGAAATTTACAATATTAACATTGATACTTACTGTTGTCCACAACTTCCTTCATTATTATTCATGGTTTGAGCTTCATTTTGTGGTTGTTGTTCTTGTTGAGATTGTTCTGGTTGTTCTGGTTGTTGATTTTCTCCATTTTGTTGACCATTTTCTTGTTGTGGTGGAGCTTCTTGTTGTGGATTTTCAGAATTTTGAGGTTGACCATTTTCTTGTTGTGGATTTTCACCATTTTGTTGACCTTGTTGATTCTTCTTGTCCTTCTTGTCCTTCTTATTCTTTTTATCCTTCTTGTCTTTCTTATCTTTCTTATTCTTCTTATCCTTCTTTCCTTTTCCATTCTTCTTATCCTTCTTTCCCTTTCCTGATTTTCCAGATTTACCACCCTTACCTGATTTTCCAGATTTTCCAGATTTACCCTTCTTACCCTTACCAGATTTACCTGATTTACCTGATTTTCCAGATTTTCCAGATTTTCCAGATTTACCAGATTTGCCTGATTTACCAGATTTACCACCTCTGTTGGATTTTCCTCCTCTAGTTGACTTACCACCACGAGTTGATCTTCCACTGCTTCTAGAAGTGGATCTGGTGGATCTTCCTCCTCTGGTAGATCTGCCACTGCTTCTGGTAGATCTGGATCTTCCGTATGAGTTTGATCTTGGCAATCTTCTGACATAGATAGCTTCGACAATGGCATCTGCCAAAGAATCAAATGGACTTGAGGCAACTACGAAAGTTGACAATGCCAAGGCCAAGAGAATGGCCATCATCACGGTAGTGGAAACCTTCATGATGCTGAGCAGTTGTTGATTGTTTTTTTTTGATGATGAAAGGATTTATTGATGGACGAGATTGTTAACTTTATTCGAAAGCGGATGATTACGATAACACATTATAATGATGGTTAATCAAATTGAACTTCCTTACCAGAACATTTTTCGATTTTGAAATATTGTATTCTCTTCAAAAACATCGTGATATCCATGTTTGTTTCCACTTGTATGAAAAGATGAACTGTATGTAATGTAAAGATTAGTTTTCTTGAGGCAATGATAGAGTAAACCAGCAAATTCCATATCTGTAACATCTTGACTCAATTCTCCCAATAAATCTTGTTTAAATTGTGGATCTATTATTTCAATATTCGAAACTTCTGGAGTTCGAATAATTTCAATCAAAACTTGTTGAGAATTCTTGATTCGTAAATTAAATCTTTCGAATGTGTAACCATTCACAGTGGAACTATCTAATTGGAGAGGAATCTCTTTACCATTTACATTACAAATTGCCTCTGCATGAGCTCTGTAATTATTGACATATTCACCAATTTCAATTACAAACGAATTACAATTTTTAAAGTTGTAAAGTTGACCTGAAATTCTTTGTAATACTGGAGAATTATCTGGCTTTTCAATGAATGTGGCTTTAACACAGAGATTATGAATGGTCTGTTGAAGGTTCAGTAAGAAGGTCAACTCGTTAGAATTTTCATTCTTTCTAAAAGTTTCTAATACTTTCTCGATTACTGATTGACCAGAGAGTTGTTCCTTAAAGAGATTTCCATGATTCAAATTATATCCTACTAGATTTCTTTCTTCCTCACTAAATTGTTCATAATAATCATCTTCCTCTCTATAAATCATGATCGTTTCCTGTTCAATTTGTAGATCAGTAATAATCGAAACGTTTCGTCCAGTCAAAATTGTTTGAAATGTATCGACTTGTTCCCATTCTTTAATGTTGTGATGTAAACTATTGGAGCATAGCATTAAAAATCTCACAAACTTTTCCATACTCCATTCAGAAGGAATCTTTGATGACTTTCTAATATCTTCAATTTTGGCTTGATGAACGAAACCTTCTTGTATTCCACAAAATGACTTGAATTCAATTAGTGGAATAGTACTACATGTTTCCTTTGAGTCCACCAAATGCAAGGCAAAATACTGATCTGTTTCAAAAGTTCTAGTTCCAATGCCAAAAGCATTTGATTGTACGAAATGAAAATAATCTCCACTCAACTTGCTTATTCTAATCTCACTTCTTGAACTTTGTGAAGTTTCGGTAGAGCAACAAAACCAATCCACATATTCCACAATTCCACCCTTGAACAAGTCAATCATTTCTTTATCATTTCTCAAAATTTCATCATTCGAATCCTTTCCATCTTCATACATGTAATACGAAAAGAATGTTTGCAGTGGAACATTATTCAAAATTTGATAATTTCTCAATGCTCCATTCACTCTCATCAAGCAACCATTCAATCCATAATTGAGAGCATCATGTCCTTCACCCGGAAGAGCTTCTCCGTATCCATCCATTTTCTCCTCAGTTTGCGGAGGACAATTTGCAATAAAATTTGATAATATTTGAAAGGAACTTTCATTGATGAGATTGGAATTTTCGAGAGTGGGAAGTTCTCTTCGTTCCGTGTTGAAAGAGGTTAGTGAAAGTTTGTGTGTGAGCGGTGTTTGCATTTTTTTTGTGAGAAATATTTTTTAAACAGACAAAAGTGGCGCCAAATGAGAAATCATTCTATTCTGATAATATCTTGAACTGAAAATGATTGAAAATATAGGTTCGCTTGTAACAGTTTATATTACAAAAAAATGGCTACACGGTTAATTAAATATTCTGTGCAACGATTGAATCCAGTGAAATCTTTGTTCCTCCAATCAAAATTGGTGTCAAGAAACTTCTCATGTAAACTTTCAAATTGCTTGGACGAAACTCATCTGAATCAGCAATTCATAGAAAATGACAAGAAGAATCAATAGTCTGGTTAAATATTGGAAATCCATTCTGCAAACATCTGAAAGAAAGAAATGGGTCATGTTCAATAATGGTTCTGTTGTCATTTTCATTGATAGAGACGAAACTCTTAACAATTCACTCATCCAAGATGCCAAAGAAATTATGCAACGAGATGGAATAGTCATTCCAGGAACTCCACATGGTGACTTTAATGTTATTGAAATAGACACTCCAGAACCTGGTTGTGTAGTGACAGGTCATAATCCAAATTTGTTAGTTGTTTCTTTGGATTCACTTGAAGATTGGAGTGAAAGAAGTTTGCCAGCAGTTTTAATGTTGAGAATGAGAAGACATTTGGATGCACAAGAGCTTGATGTGGTGGCTTGTAGTGAAGATGATTTAATTCAGTAGTAATAAGTAAATTGAGTCATTACACAATATTTGCTCACAAAATCCAATTATTATTATCATTCATATTATTATTTAGAATTTCTACATGCTGAAAAACTGATAAATTGTACCCTTAACAATTTAAAACTTTGTCCTCTAGGTAATTGGTTGTCCTCTGTCGTTAATTTGTTGTAAAAAGTATCCCAATTAAACAAATTCAAATTCTTCCGAAACTAAAAATTAATTTTCACAAATATTATTATTATATTCAATGGAAAACAACATTGGTGATGGTTGGTGAATGATCGTATTATTAAACACCAACTTGTGATTTTCCATAATAATGAAAAATAAATTCCAATTTCATGATGATAATCCACCAACAAAAATTACTACTATTACTACTATTTAGATAATGTTGGGATGATACTGTGAAAGTTTGGTGCTTTCATGATGTAAAACCACTCCGAGAATCATCACACATTCACAGAGGATTTGTTGTTATTTTTTTTGATTTGTTATTCTCGTGATGACGAAATCAACCACCTCAGAAACATCACAAGTTGCATCTTCCATATCTGTTCTCTATCCAATAATTGTCTTTACTTGTGATTTTCACCATTGACTATTTTGAATTTTATTTATATGAAACTTTACTATTACATTCAATAGATGATACACGAGAATCATCAATAATTATTCTTCATATTCCAAACAACATTATCTAACTCCCCACAAATTATCATATCAATTCCTTTTGAAATCACTGAAAAAGAACGCAATCTCTCAGGCTATATTTCACTGGAAATTACCTGCTGATAATCCTCGTTGTAAATCACGGAAAAATTCATCAAAAAAAAAGTCTTTACTTTGCACCGTTCATTCCTCCATAGAGCTCTTTCGGTACTCTGGCTTCCTTTGTTCTACCTTTGTATTATCAGCAACTCTCCCTACAGTTACTACATTTAATAGACAACAAGATGAATAATTCAACAAGTGAATGTAGTACTAATAATACTATCCATCATGATGATGATGAAAGTGTCGCGAATTTACTTTGCACGAACAAGAATGAAACAACTCATTCTCCACCACTACTATTTCCGAGATGCTCCATTGTCGAGGAAGAAGTAGAAGAAGACATTTCACCATCATTCTCTGCCTACCAACAAGAAATATTTAAAGGTGGAATTTGTAATACTTTCCTCAATGAATTACCACCTGGCATGATGGATAATATTACTGCTGATTTTACAGCCCAGGGTGCTGAAGAGCTTTTGAGAGTAGAAGAAGAACAATATGGTGCGTTTGTTTCCAGTTCCAGTTCTGGTTTGGAAACAAATAATGACTTTATGGATGATCCTATCTCACCTTCTTCCAGAGGTACGTTGACAGTAGTAGACTCGAACAGAACTTCCTCCATTGGGTCATCCACCACCCTTGCTCAAGATGGAAACAGTTTCAAGAGATTGAATGGACGAAATACGTATCTAAAGGTGAGTGGGACAACCACCAAGTCTTTCACTTTCAAATTCAATGTTTTGACCAAGTCATCAGATGGAAGAGGAACAAAGTTTGATACTACGTTTAGTTTGGTTGGAACGGTGTGTGTTAATTGTATACTCTCTGATGATAAGGAGTCTCATTACATTAATTTGAAAGATATCAAAAAGAAAAAGAAGTGTGTACTTTCCGTGCTCAGAGAAGAGTTCAATATTGGTAGAGAACTAGAATTGTGGATTCAAATTGATAATTGCACAGAACAATTGAATGTTTATTGTCAAAAGAATAAGACAGAGCAGAGCATTCACAACCTTATTGTTTTTAATTATGCAACATCTACAGTAGAGCTGAAGGATGTTGGCAATTTGACTAGTTACTCGAATGAAAGTATTACACCAACATCTGTTGAATATCACAAGAAAGAAATTGCATGTTTCAATGACTTGGTCTGTTGAGAACAGACATTGTCTTGAATGAGATAGGGAAAGGAGAATTTGTTTTGCTATCCTAGAAGAAGTTCTTAAGAGGATGTGCTTTCTGTAGTTTTATTAGTTATTTATTCCCTTTGGAGTAGAATTGAGCACGAAATAATGGAATACTCAACTAATAAGACTACAGCATTCACACCCTGAGGTTTTAGTTGGACTTGCGTTACGATGCTTATTTCCTTTGGTAGTGCATTTATTTTAATAAAATTTAACATTTGTTGTGATTGAATTATAATCTCTTGTATTTGATTTTTTCAGGATAGAATTGATCATACAATGAACCGTATGTTTATTTATTTCAGTTCTACATAGAGTTTTTTCGAATAACTTGTAAGTCGAGTACTCAATTCATTCACCTGAACACTGTTTGGCAAGTTACTGAAAAGAGCCAACAATTCATCACAAGACAAATCACTATGCTCATTGAATTCTTCCTTCTTGAATTTCTCCAATATTCCTCTGCATTTATCAATGACAGGGAAAGGATCCTGTTTGAAATCATTCCAATAGGAAGGTTGGAATAATTGAAAGATTTCATTAAAATCTTGGTACTTGTTATTCTTCTTTGAATTTTCTAATTCATAGAGCCACTCATCGTTTTCAGTATTCTTCTTGTCAATGATTTGGTAAATGGTTACAATGTCAGATTTCACTTCTACTCTATCCAATGGTCTATTGATATACGAATCTAGTGGCAATTGAGTTGTGTCAGTAATTATTTTAACATTGTACTTTCCAGCCAATTCTGCATATAATTTAGCAGTCTCTGGAACTCTTCCAACAACTGAATAGTATCTTGATGTGTTTGTTCCAATATTTCCAATATGACAAGGTCCGTAACAGATTCCAATTCTTGGACATACATCCTTTCCAGAGGCCTTAATAATCTTTAATGCACAATCAATGGCCTTATCCAGAACTTTAGCCTCAATCTTGTTGGAAGCCATTGATAGCTGGAATTCATCACAGTTCATTACTTGCAGAGTGGCCTGATTGACCTTAATGACAGGTGCAATTGCTGAAATGAAATCTTTGAAAAATGTAGAAATGAATTCATGACCTCCACCAATCAATCCTTCCAATTTGACATGGACAACTACACAATTCCTCTTACTATAGCCCATTTTAAATAAATTCTGCGCTGTTTTAAATGAGCTCTTAACTGAGGAATTATTTCCTGAACTCTCAGTTGGAGAATTTGACTTGTTGGCAAGAGAGGAAGATGAATGAGAAAAGTTATCAGCTTCCTTTTCTGGTTTCTTTTTGGTTGCTGCTGATGCATTTTGTGCAGTTTCACTCTTGATACTAATAGTTTCGTTTTGTTTGATTTGTTCAAAGACATATTCTGGGATAAAGGCCTTAATTTCTTTCAGCCACATGACAGTGTCGTACAAATTTCCAAATATTGAGTCAACTTCCTTGAACACTGACTTGTTTGATAGAACTACAGCTTCCAAATCCATAATTCTAATACTTTCGAATTGTTTCTCTAAAAATTTCATTGGTTTTGAAACAATCATACCAGTTATCAAACTAGAACAAATACCAACAATGACAATCACCACCGTTACACCAATACTTATGGAAGAACTCAAAATCATTGGTTCATTCACATCAGAATCGTATAAAACAAAGAAAATATTCCACTCCAAATTTTCATATGAGAATTTCATTGGAGTGACAATGTATGATGCTCCTTCACTACTCAGTTTCGTATTGGTACTTTTAAATGTACTGAAAGTGTTGCCATTCACCTCATAGAACCTCTTGATTAGTTTTCCTGCTCCTCTTGTTTCCAAATCAAATACATGTACACTGGTCAACCCATCATTGACAGTTGTGTTTATGGAACCACCAATGACAGTTCCAGAATTGAGTGTCACTAGAACATATCCTTTTCCTAATAATTCAATTTGAGATAAAAAGGTAACAATTGCATCCAGAGCTAGGTTGACTTTAGCTAGTCCAATAATACGTTTAGTTTTGGTTGCCTTGTACAATTGTTGATCGTAAATCCATTTTGCATAATAAATGGCCATTGTAGAACCGATAGATCTGTACGGTTCACCAACCACTCCATCCAATCCATAATTGACATATGAATTATTGAGATAGATCCAAAAATCTTGAGTGGTCATGATAATTGGTTTTGTATCGACTTGATAATTGTACTTGGTTACTTCTCCAGTATTGTTATTGACTAAATCTCTTATGGTTCCAACATATCCATACGGTTGTTGTGCATAAACTATCAAAAGTGTTTAGTATGAAACTATTCGAAAGTAGAACAAACTTACCAGTTATTGGATTACTTGCAGTACCACTCACCGTATAGGTATATCTATACGAATACGTATCATTAAAGAAATATCCACACCCATTGGCACCAAATTCCACAAATTTAGGAAACAAGTATTCTCTTAATTGAGTTAAATTGACAGCTTGTGAATTCCAATCTCTAGCCATCATTTTTGTAAGTTTTGCAATTGGATCAATATATCCATGTAAACTATTCTTAATTTTCTGACCTGATTCATCAATAAATTTGGCATTCAAATTTTGAATGGAATTGCTGGTCACTGAGAAGGAAGCAATCCAAACGAATAGACAACCTGCGAGGATGAGTAGGGAAATTGTTGATACAATGAATAGATTGAGAGGAAGTAATCCTTCGTAGGGTCTTTTTTTTTTGGTGGCTTGTAAGAGTTGCTCTGAGATATTCGAATGTATTTCGTCTGATTCGTCTGATGTGGTAATTGGTTTTACTTTCATTTTTTTTTGGTGTTGTAGTTTCTCCAATAAGAGATTCAAAGAGATGTCTTAATTATAAAAATTGAGTTGTTGTACTTGACATGATGTGTTTTGAAAGTGTGTTCAATTTGTACGAAACTTTAGAGATAAACACGAAAGTGGCCATCGAGATGACTTTCTTAATGTCTTGAGAGGAGATTTCAAGAATAAAGGAGGTAAAATTGGCGAAACATCACTTGACTTCAAAGATTGCATCACCAGTAATTAATAATCTTGCATCTAGTTTCGTATTTTTCAATGATTAGGAAATTGATTACACCTCACAAAACCTCAAACAAATAACAACCATTCCAACAACATTTCGAATCTCATTACTTGTCTGCCAGCTCCTTCACTATCAATTTCCTCAATGCCGCGTTTTGAGATAAAAATTTTAAGCAAAAAGGAAGGTGTATTAGGGATTTAGTAATTCATCATACAACATCTAAAAAAAAATACGAATTAAGACTAATGTTGTTTGAGGTTGTAACTGTAGAAGCCATCAAGGGAGGTGAAAGGCCTGTCATACACCCTCCAATTAAATACTTTCCCCCAGAGTTACATTCAAAACTGTGGACGCGAGCAGCACATGTTGAGAGCAATATGAAGTTTACATGTACGGATCGTATTCATCAACACAACAGCTATTCACCACTACAATCCGAAAGGTTTCTTACTGTTCTTGCTGGAAATTATTTGAAGACTTTAAATATGGATTTGTTTGAAATCATGTTTGTTTATTTAACTCAATCACGAATAGGAAAAACATTTTTGGAGTATTGTATGGGAGAAGTTGGGTTAGAACAACCAGTGTCGGAAGAGAATGATGTTGCAGCAGAAGTTGTTAGAGCTTGGAGGGAATCAAGTTTGTCAGTGAATGGATATGGTCGATTCAAAGACAAAATAAATAATACAAAATCCATTGCAGAAAAATTACCATCAACCTACAAGTTCAATCAATATCATGCTACAATAATTCCATTCATCAAATATTCCTTGAAAATAACACCATTTTGTTCAACAAACATTACAGCAATTTCTCCTTGTCTTGCTTTAAAACTTCTTCAAATATGTGTTGAACCTGGACAAGATTTATACAACAAAGATTTCTTCAAATTATGGTGGGATGATCGACGTGTGGAAAATTCTAAAGGAATCATCACACTATCTAGAAACGGATGTTCCTTGAAAAGGGATATCCTAGTGATGCTACTTTCTCCTATTAAATTAAAGGAATTATTTAAATCCCAAGATGATCAAGATAAGGAGGTGTTGGCAAAATTTATTCCTGAAATTCAACATATTATGCACAATAATCCTGCTAATTATTGCTCTTCTGATTTATTAGCAATGAAGGAAATACTTGATCCATCCTTTAAATCAAAAAATCAAAGTTCTAATTTAGTGAGCACACTCATTATCATGAATTCCATTATTAATGATACTTCACTTGATACTAAATTGAAAACAAAATACATCATCAACATGATTCCTAGAAAGATGAGAAGTAAATTAATTGATACCATTAACAATACCACTACTACAAGTGAATCTAATATATTATCTCTTGCAGAACAAGAATTATGTGAACAACATAACATATCCACCAGATATGCATATTTATTAGGAAATGACAGAACATTTTACGATCAATTACCCATATGTTGGAGATGTAATTGTACTACGAAGCTTAATAAGGTATCACTTATTGACAAAATAAGTTTGACACCATTTTTCCCTAATTATGATATTGAATTATATAACCATTTCAAGTTGAGATATTATCAACATATTTTTGATCTGTTACATTGTGATGAGAGAACACTAGAACATATGTTAAACAATACCTGCCTTAATGATGATAGACTTTTGGAATTTTTGGTTGAAATATTACCCAAATTAGTCAAAAAGCATTGTGGACAAACAATTTATTTGAAACTATCAACATCAAAAGAGAATGGTAATAACAATACTGGTGATTCCACTAAGAGTAAAAAAACTTTTAGCTTTATTGATGCCTCATATGTGCAACCTATTACACAAGTTTATCCATATTTCCTGGAGGCTTTAAAAGACAAATTTGATGAGATATTATTTGAACAATCAGCCAACACAATTAACAGGGAGAGAGTTCTAACATTCGTGAATAATACTATTGATTCTCTAAATCAAACACCTAATAATGTTACCTATACACCAAGTAATGAATCACCATTCAACTCCTTCTTCAATAATTTGCAAAGTGGTGAAAATAACACCACTTTCTCGAATAATGAAAATGTCATGCAAGATGATGAAAATTGTTCAAGTAATGAAAATGATATGAATATAGATTCTCAACATCATTGTTCATCTCAAGATGATGAGTTCTTAGAAAATGATTTTCTAAATGAGGACAATGATGAACAAGAGGATCCACTTTTTGATATTAATGGTAAAAATGTTAATGATAGAGAGATAATTCAATTAATTCATGAAAGGCTAGGTATTGGCAATGAACTCAACCCATTTACAAAGGATGGTAACATATTCAAACTCTGGGGAAACTTTCAAGAAGTTCAAGGCTTTCTGCATTATAATGATGAACAAGTGAAACAAGTATTGAAAAATCCATCAAAGGGAATCCAAATTCAAAGAGGTGTATCAATATTTTGCTCTTTTTATGTGGAAGTTTTTGAAAAAAGTCCTCATTATCTTCATCAAATGAAATATCATTTGATGGATGTTTGGCGACAAATTGATTCTCTCAAGAATGCAATGAATTTTATTAATGAAGGATTAGGAAAGTATCATGCAACGGATAATTTAGTAAGGGGAAGGAATGGAGGGTTGGGCTCTGATTCGAGATGGGATCTTATTGTACAACATATTACTGAGGGGTTTTTATTCAAAAATCCAAAGTTGTGGATTAATCTTAAACAAGTTATGAAGGCTAGACATAATTTTCAAGAATCAAAATCAATCTTTGATGAAGAATTGCAACAATCTGAAAGTTTATTAGCAAAAAATCCATGAATTTGATTTATCACAGTATCTTTGAGTCCAGTATATCATATCAGCTCGAACTAGACCTGTATATTCGGAATATACAAACTTCAACTGGCTCACAAATCCTCGCTTACATTCTCCCGTTTGCTTATCTATCCCTTTAAGAAAACTCCAATCAGAAGTGGAAAGTGGAGGCATTGTTCTTCCAGGAATGGTTTTGAATTCGACGCTATGAATGAGAAATGAAGTAATGTCACCATGATCTTTAACATAATCACCTTCAGTTGAATAATCACCCATACAATTCGAAACCAAATACTTCAAAAACAATTGGAATTGGGTAAACGACATGTCACCAACAAAATTATGCTGTCTTCCATCAACTACTTTGGAGATTCCATCTTGAATTCTGAAAACCAATTTTCTTTCAATCCTCTCAATGGTGTATTTCAACAACTGTTGTTGGAACGAATCAACATCTTTCACATCAAGTGCATCCAACTTGTTTGGAAATGACACATCCTTAAGATGTGCATATGGAAGTGCCCAAGCAGTCAAGCCCTTAACCCTCTTCTGATAATGCTTACCAAACATTGTGGAATTAGTGTGGACCTTAATAATGGAATCTTTCATAGCTCTGTCTTCAGTGATTGACCACTGATTGAGATTAATAATGTGAAATGTTCCCTTATTGCATTTCATTTTATGTTGCTTACTAATCTTACTTTGATTCATTTTTTAATAATTGTTAATTGTTGAGTATTCATTGTTTGATTTCTGTTGCTATTTATTGGATTTGGATTTTAAAATACAAAATAAATTGATTTCTTGTGACTTGATGGGCTGGGATTTTTAACCAAAAAGCTTAAGTTTAAGAGATTAGCCTATCTCAAAACGTGGCATTCTTTAGGGAATGACTCATTTGAGAGAAGTGAGTTGAACGAATCACCAAACTGGTCAAGATATTTTGGATCTACTCCATAAACCAAATTCTTGTTGTAAATTCTGTACTCATTTAAATAGAATAATTGCTTGGAATAATTGTTTGCTTGATTTCTTGTCAGTAGAGTATAGCCAATTATTCGAATTTTAGGATCCTCAAGTAGATAATCTCTATTTTCAGAGGATGCCAAAGTATTGATTCGAAACATTCCACAACTAGCTCAAAAGAGTGAATTCAAGATTGGCAATATAATTTGACATGAGGGTATTTGCCATATTTCCTAAATAATTTCTTCTTCTCTTTCCAACATACATTCGAATAGATTCTGGTATCGATGAATCATCATCAAAATATTGTTGGAGGTCTTTGGTAATTTCTTCATTTCCGAAATATTTCAAACTCTGTTTTACCATATCACTAAACTCCTTCCTCTCACGAGAAATAATTATTTCCGAAATATTTCTTCCATTGTTTTCCCAATCGATCAAGTCTTGAATTTTTAAGAACTGCAACTTGAGAATGAAATCCCAATGATCTTCAAAGCTTTTCCAAATAAATTTGATATTGTTTCTTCCATAACAAATTATTATTTCTTGCCACATTCCGAATTGATGGCAAGAATGGATGAGAATTGATCTACGGAGCAAAAGGAAAATATACTCACTTTTAATTTCAAAATGGAAATTACATGTTTGTGTTTGTTTCATTTTTTTTCTAATTGAATACTGTCATGGAAGTGCTGATTCTTGGAGTGGTTTCACTTGATGAAACTCCAAGAATTTAAGATGATCATTCCAACATCATCCACATGGTAGAAATAATTAGTAATTTTTGTTAGTCGATTATTATGAGATTGGAATTTATTTTCAATTCTGAAATTCACATATCATTAAATATCATCCATTACTAATACACTAACTACTACCTTAACAGGTGCAAAAAAGTACGAATACTCGCTTAATACACTACGGCACATTTTCTTATTAAGGGAGATTTGCTTGGCTTTCTCTATACGAAACATTTACAAGTACTGTTCAATTAGATTGTGTCACAACAGATGATCATCCATGTGGATGTTAATAATTAGTTTAAAAGTTGTGCAGATATTATTATTGGATTACAATATCCTTCTTACTGGATAATTTCAAATTACTATAAATAGCGACCTTTCGATTAAAGAGAGAAAACATTCGAAACTCAAAAAAAACAATTCAATGAACAAACTAATTTTCTCAATCATTTTCTGTGCTCTCCTAGCATGTATCGTCATTTCCAAGGAAACCGAACTAAACAAGAGAGGAATCAGTGTGGCAGGTGGTACTGACATTGATTATGACAATCAATTTCCTCATTTAGTTTCTTTACAATATTCCAGAGATGGAGTCAAGTATCAACACTTCTGTGGAGGTAGTGTTATTGCTTCAAGATGGATTCTCACTGCTGCTCACTGTCTTTCAGTTGATGGAATGGATGTGTCAAAGGTTAGAGTTTTGGCAGGTGTCGCCAATCAAGATATCGATTGTTCCAATCCTTCCTCAAAGTGTGTCATTAGCAAAGTAGCTAGAAAGATCGTCCATCCAAACTACAATTCTCAATACATCAGAAATGACATTGCCATGCTCGAATTGACAAGTGACTTACCACTCGGCACTGCTTCCCAAAACAGAGTTCAAAGAATTGGCATTGAAGGTGGTCAAATCCCATTCAAAACACTCGTAACACTCACTGGATGGGGTAGAACTTCAGATTCTTCCAATGATTTACCTTCAAAAGCTCAAAAAGCTTACATGCCACTTCAACAGTCATCTGTCTGTAATCAACAAGGATTGGGAATGGAATCTCCATATCAATTATGTGTAGGTGAAGGAAATAGAATCAATAGTTGTCAAGGAGATAGTGGTGGCCCTCTCCACTGGATTCGTCAAAGTGGCAACTCTTATACGATGGGTTTAATTGGCCTCGTTTCGTATGGACCTCAAGGATGTGGAAGACAAGGAGCTTTTGGTGTTTATACAAATACTACTTATTGGATTAATTATGTGAAGAATTATGTTCCTGATTTGCAAGTTGTGTACATGAATTCGAATACAAATCCAACTAATCCGACTAATCCAACAAATCCAGGAAGTTGCAATTGTCCTACTCAACAACAATCTGTGCAACAGGATGGTATTGAAATGCCAAGAGTTATTAAAATTGAAGAAACTCATTAGAAAATGCCTGTTGGAAATGTTTCGAATAGAAACATATTCATTAGGTAATGCCACCAAATTAATAAATTTGAACTTATTCACACTTTTTGTAAAGACTCACCAAATTATAATCATGAACTACAGAAAATGAATCTAAATGAATCTTTGTCCATGCCACATGTCACCCGAATATTCGACAAGTTTAATTTCACAATAATTATTTAAAAATCAAAACATTTTTAAACATTGAAAATCAACTCTGCTCCATAACATACCACGACACACACTATCCAAATAATATCCAAGATCGTTATCTATTCTATTCCTTTCGTCTTACAGCTCTTTCCAATAGGTTTCATACAAGTTCACACACGTTATTGTTCCAAGCATGTACCGACCTTTCGCCCTTCATATTTGTTGATACGAAAAGACCACAAAGGAACTGATGACCGTTATAAAAACATCAACGCCAAAAGTCATCCATTTCAACATCAAAAAAAAACAAATTCATCAGCGTTAACAAAATGGGTGCAAGTGATTCTTGGGTCAGAATGGCCATTTACATTGGTGGTTGTCTCGTTTCCTGTTGTGTTGTCATTATTGTCTTGGCAATTGTCATTCCTATTGGTGTAGTCAACTCAATTCCACCAGAATATTGTTCTAGCACCAACCACTTGAAATATTTCCCATTAGGTTCTATCATTACCATGCAAAAGGATCTCGGATTGGCTAGATTTAATATTTATAATGGTACTGATACAACTGTTTCGAATAGAAGTGGAAGAATGAAGTATAGATCATGGGCTATTCCATATCGTATTGATTTAATGACTGCTGATGAGAAGGGAAGCTGTGAAGGAAGAGGAACATCTTTCAGTTTGGGTCAAAAAGTTGATTTAACAGTCTGTCAAAATGATACTGAAATTCCATTCCAGACATTTGGCAAGATTGATCAAGAATGGACATTTATTCTTCGTAAATACAAGATTTATGGATTGAACAACGTCCAAATTGCCTATGCTGAAGAGAACTTTAAAATTGGTTCAGTAGATATCGATATCAAGTCCCCAGATGGAAGTCTTGTCTATGCAAAACTTGTTACTAAACCATTCACTAGTATTTTGGAAACTTGGGAAGTAAATGTGAAGGCTGAACTTCCAGATTTTGATTGGAGAACAATTATTTATTTGGTTTCTGTTATTTCCTATAATAGAAGTTAATGTGGAAGAATTTTCACACATATATTTATATGAAGAATGATAATTTTTAAAAATTATTATTATTACATGTATTTACAATTTATTATTATTATAAATTTATTATTTATTTAGAATTTTAATTTTGTTGTCTTATTTGAAACATGGAAACTAAACGAAACTGAACTAATTCACACAAAATGTCTTCATCTCGTGATAAATGTTAATTGCAAACAAACAGTGTTACCTTGAACAATCACTAACACAGTTTCTCTTACAAGGTAATTGATAATTTTATCATTTCTTTACACGACATGAAACTCTTTCGGCTAAATCGACCGAAACATAATAGTGCATTAGTCAGTGGCAAAAATGCAGAATTGGAATTGTCAAATTAAGTAATTCTGAATGTTTCGCAACATTATTAGATGATTGAGATCAGTTTCGTTTTGACTTTCCATTTCGAATAGTATTTACATGTGACGAGATGTTATTGGAAGGGAAGTAAGTTTCTAATGATGTTGAGTGACCGGTTATTAAGTAATTCTGAAGATGAAGAGTTGAAATATCGCCTTCCTTTATAGGATTAGTAACATCCCTATTGTGATGTGTGGAAGCTCTATTAGAAAGCAGACGAAACTTTTGGTAAATCGAAAGTGAAAAGAATACAACAACATCAAAACACGAAATGTCTCTCAAAATAACAATTCTCGAGTTTTCACAAGAAGATTCCAATAACTCTTCGAATACAAACAGCACTCCCAAGATGAAAGTCAAGTCTAAAGATGTATACTCGAAAACTCCAATGAGTAATGGACCTTTCTTTACATTCCATCAACAATTTGATTATGTAGTGAGGTCTAGTAATCACAAATTCAAGTCAGATGTCTCAACAGTTTCGTTTACACCTCCCAAACTAACATAAGAGGAATCGTCCACTTTCTTCTAAGAAACTGATTGAGAAACCAAGTAAGATGAGACAATGTCATGCTTCTACGATTAATCCTTTACCTAATGAGAGCATTCCAAGTCTTGTTTGTACTTCTCCATCAAGTCCTTCAATCACGAGTGATTCTTCTTCCAATATTAGCTCTCTTTCGAATACTAATCTTTCTAACTCACAAACAAAGCGATATAGAACTTCGATATCTATTAGAGAATTATTAAATTAAAGTATATCTCTTTAACTGTTACAAACAAAAACCAAAAAGAAATTGTAATTTCAACTGTATTCGAAACCATTCCAATAATTCATAAATATGTTGGGATCAATACATCTTTTCTTACCCTCCAAACCTAACCATGTTATCAAAATATTTCCCGTCTCCATATTAGTAAACTGCCAAATGTCAACTCACAACTAATAGATCTCTAAAAAAAATGCAACAATTATCTTCCCCACTCTCTACTACCACATCTCTACAACTATCCAACTCAACTTCCCAACCCATTCTTTTATTCACGATTGACTTGGGTTCTATCCATATCTCGCAAGTCAATTCGGAGTTTTAGCATTTTCAATTGTTTTTTTCATGATTTTAATAGGCGGTATTGTTATTTACTCACTATATCTCATAAAGAAGGGGAAATCAAACAGTAAAATCAATTCTTCGATTGGTGACAGCCCTCGAGTGACATCTCGCTCATTTGGATTGTTTAATAGAAATAGATGGGTAATGATTGGATTATCATTGATCATGTTGGTGTTTAGGACTCTGGGAATGATATTCTGCATTGTGTCCAAATCATTCGTTGTGAATATCAGAAATAGGATGGAAACACATGTCAAAATTAATTTTGATGTCACTAGTCAAGAATATAGAGATGTGTTCGTTTATGAAAATAGCACAATCACTGGACAACAAGTGGGTATTGAATCTTACTGGAGAGAGCTAGATCAAGGTTTCTATTCATTGGAAATCTTCTTTTCTACCAATACTGTCACCATTCTTTTAATTGCAATGTGTTTTATTGGAAATATCTTTCTTAAAACTGTGATTCATACAAAGGGACAACATCAATCGAAGGGCAGTAAGGTTTTATTGTATATTTTCAATGGATTGTCTTGTTTCTTTGGAATTTCCTTTTTTGTAATGGTTGTGGTTTTGAGTGTCATTAGTCCGCTGTTTTGGTTGAAGATTTTGGAAAGAGATTCTGGAAATGTAGTGTTTATTGTGATGGCAGCAATATTTATATCTCAAATATTTATTCAAAGTATATTTTCAATAGTAAGTTGACCAATCAGATGTTTTGTAATAATTATTGAAATTTGACAGGTCAATACTGTGAAAGTCATTATGGTTATTAGAGAAATGGGTAAAACAGATACATCAAGAAGAGCTCTACTTAAGGTTACTATTCTTCAACTCATCCTACTCATGACAGCTTTCATCTTTTTAATAGCAGCAATTTGTTATTCCATTTATGGACATTACTTGTATTTGGCTTATATCATTCTACTCAATATTGGAGTTATTGTATTTGTTTCTGTAATTTTGGCAATTTCTGCCTCCACTGCTTGAAAAGTTTTCAATTTTGAAACAATTTCAAATTAATTTTGGAAATTAAAATTTTACAATAATTTCAAACTAATGGTACTTTTTATATTTGTAAAAAATAGGAACTATTCCCCTGTAAAACAATAACCACAAGGGATTCCACTCTTTACAGCTCTCAATCCATCCACTATCAAGATCATTCAATTAGTAATTGACCAGTTGGAAGTTGTCGGTGGAGGTTTTGGAAATATTCAATGATCGCCCATTTATATTACCAATTACACAGGTGTAATAGGTTACTGATATTCAATAATCTGATTTGTGGGTATGTGGGTGAATCAATAATCAGTGCCACAACCATTCGAAAAAAATGTCCCTAAACCTTCCACAACTTTACTCCACAAATCAATCATCAGGAGAAGGATCGAATATGTCCATGTCTGTATTGATCGTGCTATTTCTCACCAGCTTGAGCTCTACCATTGAAGTCATTCTGGAATGTTCCATCGGATTCATTTTGGCCAAATTCAAACCAGTGAAAATTTTGAATAGTGACAGAATTCGATTCCTTTCCAAGTTGTGGTTCAATCTCTTTATTCCTTGCATGTTTTTCATTAATTTAACCACAAGCTTTTCCTTGCAAGTATTCCAAAAGATTTATATGGTCTTTCTTTACAGTGTCATTCTGGAAGTGTTGGGAATTGTGTTGGGAAAGTTGTTGTTTTTGAAATGGTTTTGGAAGGATCGATTGGATGATATTTCTAGAACTGTTTTGACTTTGACATTGGTTTGTCATACTTCTGTGTCCTTACCATTGGTGTACATTGTTGCATTGTGTAATGTTTCAACTTTATCTTCAAATCCAGTTTACAAAATGACATTTGATGAAGCTCACAAAAGTGCATTGACCACACTTTCGGTTTTTATCATTCCTACAGAGTTTGTGTTTTGTACGATTGGATTTAATGCATTTAGATATGGAGCTGCTCGATTGAAAAGAGAATTATTGGTAAATCAGTCAATTATGGAGGAGAATAGAGAAGATTCGAATGAAATTTCACTTTCTAATGAGTTGGAACATGAAATATTTGAAGAAATACCTGAAATCAAAGAACATATAGAGGAATCTGAAACTATTTCTCAGCTAAATTTGGCCATTGAAATGCAACCTGAAAATCACCAAATTCAACGCAACCAAACCATCATTGAACGATTGAAACTTTTTTTCAAAACAATTGGGAAAATTTCAAAGAATTATTGTCGAACTTATTATCTCCTCCCTTGATTTCCATTTTTGTTGCCATTGTAATAGCACTAATCAAACCAGCTAAGGAATTTCTAATTGAGAATCCACCAATGTTTGTTTCCTCATTGAAGAATATTTGTAAAGTGTTTTCACAAGCTGTGTCTCCTGCTGCTCTTATCATTTTGGGAGGAAATTTGGGAATTACCTTGATGAATGAAGAAGAAAACGATTCGGTTGAAGTTTCCAATATGAACGGGCAAATTAATCAAAACCGAATTCAGGCAATATTGCAAAAATTCAAACAGACACTGATTGGAATTTTGAAAATATTCAAAATTAAGAAAATTCATCCATTAGCAATTGTAATTTCACTAATTACCAAATTAATCATATTTCCTTTAATAGGAGTTAGTTTAGTTTATGTTGGAATTTACTTGAAAATCTTGCCTGCCAACGATCCTCTATTAATTCTCGTTATTCTCATCCAATTTTCAATGCCAATGGCCATGTCACTCACATCACTCTCCAGTTTAAACAATGATTTTGGACAGGAACAAGTTTGTGAGCTCTTGTTGTGGCATTATTTATTATGTCCATTGACACTGTCATTATTTTCTGCATGGTTTTTATCATTGTCTTGCCAATTCATGGGAGATGAATTTAAAAATCAGTGCAATATCTAACAGAAAAATTGCAGAAAAAATTTAATTTTCAATTTCAAATTTGGTAACTTCCAAAATAATTCAATGTCATTTAATTTTCGTTTCTTGATTTATTTCAAATTGAAGAAGTTCGCCATGTTGAGGATATTTAGCAATCAATTCTTTCATAAATTTCTCATTAGAACGAACAATTCTTGGTGCATGTTTGATTGAGTGGATGTGGTAATGAACTGAGAGTGAAACTATTTCCAAATTAGAGGCAAGTTCGAGGTCGATGAGTTTAAGTGTTGTTTCGTGATGCTTGAGAGCTTGTTTGATAATGTCCAAATCAGATTTTAGTAATTGTTTCGTCTGGGTTATTCGAAAGTCTTGTTCTTCTTCATCATGTGGATAACATTCGAATAATTGACTCACCATTTGTGGATAGTATTGAATGTTTGCCAGTAGAGCAGATTTAATAACAATCTTTGCTGAAACTAGACGAAAGTTATCTTGCAATTCTCGGGAGGCAATGTTCCAATCCAAATAACAAACACATTCATGCATTTTCTTTTCAATTATTCTCAATAATATACTGTTTACTAGCTAATTAACTAATTTGTGGAAAAAATCTTTTGATATTTGCAAAGATTTTAACTTTCCAAATTTGGACTAATTGTAATCTTTCACTCAACTGGAAAAATTGAATATTTCATACAGGTCTCAAAACTATTCTCAAAACAACACTTAAAATAGAAATTGTTACGCTACCGATCACAGCAATGATAAATAGAAAGATTGCAACTTTTCCCAACTAGAAGATTTAACAATTCGAATACTTTTCTATCTGAAACTTACCTTTCTTGCTTTAGGTCCATACTTTTCTCTATTCCTTGCTGTCAGAATTGCTAATAACAACCATATCAGAGGAAATCCCAATCCAAACATAAACATTATCAATGCAATTTCATCATTCTTTCGAATTATTTCTTCATTACTAGTGGAAACCACAACTCTTAACACTTTTCAACACTTTTAATCCATCCACAACTTACCTCTGATGCTGAGTAAAAACAGCATTTCCATTCCCATGACCAACTCCATTACCAGTCGTATAATAAGGCGAGCCATGATCATGATGACTTCTTACTGGCTCAACCATATTCGGCGAGTAGGAAGGTGATGAAGAATATCCACCAGCTAACGGACTAGGCGAAGGTTCTACGCGCACCATTTCTCTCAATCTCTCTCAGTGTGCTTAATGACACTATTAAGGTTTTTTTTTGTGTGAAAGTTTTTGCGATTATTGATTGCGACCCTTCTAATTTGTTGTTTACAGTAGAAAATTTACGGTAACGCAAAAAGAAGATAGAAGGATTTAAGGGTCCTCACTCTCGCGCTAATGAACTTGTTGTATCAAAGTTCACATGATAATATATGTGATTTATTTATTTGTAAATATGTAAGAAATATAAATATATTACATTATCATTTACAATTGGATGAATAAAGTGATGAATAATAATGCAGATAAGGCAATCATTACGTTCATGGTGAGAGTTGAAGAGGTGGAAATTGTAATTGTTCTATTATCATTATTGCTAACTGTGGAAATGAGTGCTGGAATTGGTGTTGGTGTTGGAACTGGCTCAGCAACTTCTTGAATTAGAGTGACATTGACAGTTCTAATATTGAGAGCTCTGTCTGTTTCAATGACCATTGTAACAACATTGAGTCCCTTTTCAATAATTCCAGAATTAATTGGAATTGTAAAATTATATACAGCAGAATTCGAAAGAACAGATCCTAATTTAACATTATTCATATAAATTCCAAGATATCCTCCACCATTCAAGACATTGGCAGCTTCAATTCTGACTGAATAAATACCACGTCTAGTATTAATCATTGGATAATAATAAACAGAGTCCAATTGAGCTGAGGCAAGAACAGTAGCACTTGAAGAAGAGTCAGCCAATTGATGCTTGACAGCAGGAGTGCTTAAAATTGAATTGACTGGTCCTGCAAATAGTTTAAATACAGTAGTATTGTAAGGAACGTTTGGATTATTGACCATATAGAGAATTCCCTCTCTCTTTGGCTTATACGAATCTGAAATATATTCAGCCCATCCCCAAGTTCCATATTGTGAATCATAACCTCCATAGCTAACAGTATACCACACGAAGGCATCAAATCCATAACTGAACCAATTTCTCAAAAAATCAATGGTAATCTGTTTCATTCTTGGTTCGAATGATGCCAATCTCTTAGATTGAATATTGTAAGGTCCGAAAGTATCTGGTCCACCTTCGTAAGCCATATGTTTGAGGCCATAGAATTTGGCCATGCAAATGTAATTACCATAATCATAGACAGCTGGTGATCTATTCATTTGATATTCCAATTCATTTAGAACAGCATCTTTGGACATGGTTCCAGAATAATTATTGTCAATTTGGAAATATGGAGCTGAGGCGATGGCATAGAGATATTTGGAAGGAGCTCCAAATTTCTCAATCATTTGTAAACCTTGACTAACAATATATGAATTGGCACCTTGACCAGCCAAAACAACTCTAAATTGAGTGTTTCGTTTGCTTTCTCCAAAAACAGATGCAAATATTTCAGAAATACGATAGGCCACATAACCAGTTCTTCTAAATCCCCAAGTATACTTGTTATTCACCTGATCATAATTGAAAATAGTCATATTCCCAACAGTTACCAAATATTCTGCATAATTAAAATTCCAATCTGTTTGTTCGAAACCTGAATTCCAAATTTCATTCGAATATTCCAAATAAAAAACTCGATTTGGACTCAATTTTTCCTTAAAAAGCTTTGCCATTTGTAAAATGTAATCTTCATCGACCATTGCTGGAATATTTACCCAAACTTCCTTATCATGCATATTTGCCAAAGCAATTATAGTTTCGTATGAAATTCCTTTGCTTGTTGAGAATGTTGAAATTGTTGATCTAGCTCTTTCACTCCATTTTGTAATTGGATTTGCATTCGTAGAGCACCAATCCATCATTCTAATCAATTTCAAATCCTTAATATCTTGAATAAAGCTTGGAAGAAAGATGAGAGTGTCAGCATCTTGAATGGTGAAACCTGGACGAATTAGACGAATGTTTTGGAAAGATGTGTTTGTTGGTTGAGTGAATCCTAACATGAGTTGAGTAGCTTGATCACCAACTACAATATAACCAGTTGTCTTTCCATTTGAATATGTGAAATTGACCAATTCACAATCTGAGCTAGCAACCAAATCGACTGTCAACTGTCCATCACCTTGAAAATAATAAGTTCCATTGACAGTACCTGCAGGTTGAATGAAAACAACTGTACCAGCAGAATATCCAACTGGATACGAATCTTGATTGTATTGGTCAACTGGTAAAGTGTTCCATGGAGCATCTGCTTGACCCCACTTTGAATGTTAAAAAAAATATATAAAAGCACTTACATAACGAGCAGTTCTCATGGCATCGATGAAAACCAAATTATTAGAATAGTCGGCTGTGTGAAAATATTCGAAACTCGATGTAAAATAATACGAAACTTACCTAAGCCTATTATTCGAAAGTAAATTAAATATTTGGCTTATTCTACATACCTCCCAAGTTACCTCCCATAACAGCCTTGTTGTTTGGAATTTGTGCAAAAACAACATTTAACATGCACAAAAAGCAAATGACAGTAATCAATTTAATTGATGACATTTTTTTTGACATGATATTACTGGTTCGGTAAATGATTGGATTTGACTGTTGGAGAATTGATGATCACATCTGGCAAGTAGATTTTTAAAAAATGGCAATCATGAATGTTATTCGAAACCTTTTTAGAAATATGAAAAACAGTTGAATCACTTCTTATAATTTACAATATTTTTTTTCAATATATATTTATTTACAATATTGGACACAACTACAGAAAGTTAAAGTTCCTCAAAAAACCTTAATCGAAACCTTTTTGGAAATTTATTAGAACTGACCTTTCGAATAAAATTGCAAATCGAAAGAGCACTATTCTAGAAGAAACTTGGATCATCAATGAATTACAATGAAAAATCATGCAACAACCACCTTGCCATAAATGTCGTTTTGGGTAACAAGATGGAGCGCTGTCAGTAATCAAATTCACAATCAAAAAAAATGCCAATCACACCAAAACACTTTGGAGTTGACAAGACTTTCAGCTCTTTCAAAACCTTCCACATGAAACTCACCATCTTGGAAGCTAAAAATTTGATCAACACTGATTCTGGTAAAAATGGTAAGTTTTGACAGGTGTCAAAATTAACAATCACTAAAAAGGTGACGTTTCTGATCCATACTGTGTTGCCTGGCTCGGAGGTAAAAAGAAGGAACAGTTCAAGACTCATGTAATTTCCAACTCATTAAATCCTGTCTGGAATGAAACTTTTGAAATTCCACTCGATCACAATCCAGAACAATATGTCCTAATTTGTCAATTATATGATAAGGACAAATTCACAGGAGATGATTCATTGGGATTCATAGCAGTTTCACTTTCTACTCTCAAATTGGAAGAGAAGAAACCATTCGAAATGTGGCTAAACTTGCAAGGAGTTCCAAAAGGAAGTTTACATATTCGAATTGAACCTCTCAACTTTCAAATTAATGATGGTTTCGTTGATTCACTCTCTGAGAATATTCCACAAATTGACTTGACCAACTTTTTAAATGAATACAAGAATGAGAAGGGAAGAGGTTTCGCCAGTAGAGGAAGAAGTTTAAAATCAATTTTGAGTGGAAATATTTCAGAAAAGGAATCTCAACGATTGGATAACTTGTTTGGTGTAGAGTATTTGGAGGATATTTATGATGAATTGAGAACTGGTGATGTCTTGTTGCATTCTGGAAAGGGAACTTTCTCAAAAGCTATTCAATTGGGATTTTCATCAACTTGGTCTCACTTGTCGATTATTATTAGAAATCCACCGAAAGAATTATTGGAATTGTATAAGGTTCAAGTTGATGCTTCATCAAGATTTTCAACTGTTTTTGTTGCAGAATCTGAAACTGATACTGTGGACAATAAGGAAGGTGGTGGAATTCAATTAGTAGAATTGAGAAAGTGGTTTATGGATTATTTGGAAAGAGATCCAACTGATTTGTGTTGTTTGAGAAGATTGAACATTCCTTCAATGGATAATAGACCAAAGGATGAGAATATTGTGGATCAATTCCCAACACTTGTTGATTATTTGAAGATTTCCATTGATAAGAAATACGAAACTTCAAAATCTGAATTATTGAAATGTGTCATTAAGAGAAATACTCAATCCAATGATGCTAATGTATTCTGTTCTGAATTTGTGGCTGAATGTTATCTTAGAATGGGTTTATTGCCACAATACACAATTACCTGCAATTATGGACCTCGTGACTTTAGTCAGGAATCTAATTTGGTTAATACAGTTCTATTGAAAGGAGCCAACTTGACAAAAGAAAAGAGAATTCGAGTAAGAGAATGGGATGAAAAGAATGATTGGAATGTTCAACCATAATTATTTAATAAATTGTAATTTAATACTGATATAATAAAATATTAGAAATAATGTAAATATATATAAGTGATTTATTTAGCGCAGCTGTCTTTGGTATTGTCTTGTGACAATACTTCAAAGAAAATGCCTAAAAATAATCATTTTGTTCTCTACTGTTTGAGTAAGAATCATCTTGTTCAAACAAAAAATCAAAGTCTGAATTAAGGGAATTTGGGAAGGAATTTGGACTTGGTGGTGCACTGCTGGCAGCCATTTGAGACATGGCAGTTGGATACGTAGAATTCGGGATTCTTGGATCCATTAATGGAGTTGTTGGGATGAAATTTTGCACCGTATTGAAAGTTAGTGGTGCAGATGATGTCATTGGAACAAAGTTTTGCATTGGATTGACACTTGGTGGTGTAATAATATTAGGAACCGGTGGTGACAAAGAGTTTCCAGAAAGTGTTTGAGAATAATAAGTTTGAATACTACCTGTATCATCACCAGAAGAGGAAGCTGCAACTAACTTCTTCTTTCTTGGTTTAGTCTTCTCACTGGTCTTTCTTTTAGTTCCAGATTTTGACTCTTGATCTTCAATCATTGTTTCAGCAGAGGAACTAGAGGAAGCAGAAGCAGAAGCTCTCTTTCTAGGCTTTCTTTTCTTTCTGTTTGTTGTTACAGGTTCCAATCCACCATCAACATTAATTTCTTCTTCTTTTTCTTCTGACATTTCATCATCATCAGGAATCCATAGAGGTTCATCTTCACCATTCAAATAGATGGCTTGAACCACTGATAAATTAGAATTATTCTTAACCACAACCAGCCTTGTCTTCAACTTGATAACATGACCAAGGAGCACAATAATAATATCACCCACTGCCTTTGTTGGGCACTTAACTTGACAAGCACCAAGTATCTTGGAAATTGTCATTTCAGCACGCATCTTGTTATCGCTAAAGTTGTTCTTCATCATGTACCAGCCTGATCTGTTTTGCAATGCATCAACCACAACCACTCTGATCTTGATGCCATCGAACAATTCCAATGAAACATGGGCCAATCCCTTCTTTCTAATAACAATTTTAAAAACAGGACGATGGGTAATTGGATCGTAAATAGTTTGTTCAAAGATTGGTTTATCAACGTTATTGTTCTTGGTCATCGCGAGAGGGTTAAGAGGGTTTGATATTTGAAACTCTGATTAATTAAAATGATTTTTTTTTTGTTTTTAAAATATCAAATATTTCCGCGGTTTTAAGCTACAAAGTCAATCATGTTCACCATTGGTTTGAAAATGCTCGTTTACAAAACCAAAATACTGGTGTTGATATTCATTCAATGAAACTCCACCCATGCACAAAAGGTTGAATTTACTTTACAATAAATTATAAAGTCTTGTTCGGAACTTGGAACAAGTAAATAACGCGTAAAATTTAATAATTTTAAAAAAAATGTCATCAAGGGAGGAAATTATTTCCCACGCCATCCCAATCTCTTCTTCCGAAAGTTCTTCAGCATCATCTTTTATTTATCCAAGAGTGATCGAATGGCAAAATCTAACCTCGGACCGAAAGTACAAGAGCGGAAGTAATATTGAATTTACTGTAGAATTGGATTTTATTAATGAACAGCAGCAACAAGATGGAACAACTCGATCTGATGATGAATTTGATCAATTGGCGAGTAGCTTTCCAGAAGATGAAATTGTAATTTCTGTAACATTGGAAAGACTTTCCGGTGATGAAGAATATGGTGGAAATAACATAATTGCAGAAAAACGATATTCATCATACTTTCAACAAGTTGATGTTAGTGAATTGGAAATTGATGGAGTGACTAGGAGTGTAGCATCAAAGGAAATACCAATAATGATTACTATTCCAGATAAAATTAAGGATTTACTTGCTGATGACTGTAATGTTGCAGTTTGTTGTCAAGTTGTGATTGGAGAGAATAAGAAATTTGTTAACGGCTTTCCTATGAATATTAATTGTGGAGTAAAGAGAAAACCAATGCTTGGATTTGACACGCTGTATTGTACGAGTGAGACTTCGAAAGATTCATCCTTTGCATATCCTTTGGATGTGACTCTGTATCACGAAAGGAATATCTTCTATGTCACAGACACGTACAATAGAAGAATTGCAGTGTTTGAATTGGGCACTAGGCAATTTAAATTTCATATTAGTTTATCATCTTATCCTAGATGTCTGGTTGTGAGTGAGGTTGATGATAGTATTATTTTCACTTGTGACGACAATTATGTTTACAAGTATTCATATGATGGATCTAAATTGATTTGGAAAAGTTATCCAAATCTAAATTGGGCAAGAGGTCTGGTTATTGATACAACCAATGAAGATATTTATATATGTGATTTTGATAACCATAGAATTGTAGTCCTTTCAAAGAATGGTGATTTTCTTAGAGATTTTGGATCAAAAGGAAGTGGAGACACCCAGTTCGATGGACCAAAGGATATTGATTTTGATCTTGATGGAAATTTGGTAGTTTCCGACCGTGAAAATCACAGAATTCTTGTCTTGTCCAAGTTGAATGGCTCTCTGATAAGAAAAATTGAAAATGGTCATGGAAATCAACCAGGACAATTCGCTTGTCAAGAAGGATTTTGTATCGATAGAACGAATGGCAATATTATCGTTTGTGATTCGATGAATGATAGAATTCAGATTTTTAATTCAAAACTTCAATTTATTACTTCATTTGGAGAGGCAGGTATTGAAAAGAGCGAGTTAACCAAACCAACTGGTTGCGCCCTTGATGAAAAACGACAGGAATTATTAGTAGTTGAATGGAATAACCAAAGATTGCAAGTATTTAGATATCCTCTTCTTTCCAAAAATGTAAAACTTATTAAGACTAAATTGCTTAGATCCTTACATAATGGAACTTTATCAGATGTTCAAATCAATACTACAGAAATGGATTAACTTTGTATTATATCAATGAAATGTAACACTACTTTAATTGTATTCCAATTTATTGTTTACGACTCGAGCATGGGTTGAACCCCAATAGAACATGTTATAATTATTTGTTTGTTTGGATGAATTTATATCAATAATTTGAGCTGTTAAGAAAACAGTAATACAGGATGAATATCACTAATTTCAATTCGAACAATTTTGTCAGATGATATATTGAAATCATTTTCCTCAATGGTGTTACGATGAGAGGTGGATTGAAATGAAAGAGAGTTAATCAATGTGAAGAGCTTTTACTTTGAAAGTGTTTCAATTTGGAATTTGAAACAGTAAAGAGAATCACTCTTTTAAGTTGTCATCTTTGAAAACATATCACAAACTAATCAATGATAATAAATGAAATATTATTGATTTATTGATAAAGTTCTTAATTAAACGTCAGGTAATGAGGTAATTCAAACAACAGTTGCCTCAGTGATCAATAGTGGTAACTGCCATTTCACACCTCTTGAAGTTGATGGGCTAAAAGACGTCACTGTCAAAACTTGACAAGCAAAAACCAATCATAAAAAAATGGGCAAATTTGAAAAACTCTCTGAACAACAACAAGAACAAATTCGTATTGGTATGTTTCTTCGACACAGAAATTTCTAATAACTCTATTCTGGCGTTTCCACACAATTGAACAATTTGGTTCTCAATAACAAAATATCTTTAACTGTTGATTATAATCTTATTAACAACAATCATCACGTTCTAACATAAAATTTAATCAACAATTTGTAAAATCTTGATGATACCAATAATGACTAATGACTAACTACTGGTCCATACATTAAATAACAACAACAGCTTTCAAACAATGCGACAAGGATGGTAACAACGTCATTGATGTTGTCGAACTGAAAGAAATTTTGAAGGCTTTGGGTGAAGAAGGTACCGAAACTCAAGCCAAGGAATTGATGAAGGAAATTGATGACGATCAAAATGGATTGATAACATTTGATGGTAAGTTTACACGCTCTAGTACAATATCTTTGCTAACACCACTTAAAATTAACACATTGTTCCTATCTACCCTAACCAACATTCACATGAAATAACAACTTTCATCTCTTTTGAACAACATCAAACAGAATTCAAGGAAGCTATGGCTGGTTGGATGCTCCAATAAATTTTTTAAAAATCTTTTGTATTTTGGCGCTCTTGAAATTTACTGTTCTTTCAATATTGTGTGATGATTTGTTCTTTTGCTTCGGAGACAGCAACAAATTTGTTGGGATTGATCAAAATCGTTACTTTCCACAATTTATCTTTTGTTAAAAAATTTTAAAGTTTCAATATTTATTAATATTAATTATTTAAAAAATATCACAATGAAGGAGGCAAGTGTAGAGACATGAGCAATATTAGTATTATTCATAATCAAATGTAACAAAAATAGTTCATATGAACGACGGAAGGCTCTAATTTCCTATTAACAAGTGCAGTAATAATTTAGTAATGTGCATGATTTGTTTTAAAAGCAATCAAACTATGATGTTTATCAAAGTAGACATTTTGATAAATATTAGGCGTGCCAAGAACATTTGGATAGATTCGATCAACAATCTTCATCGTGATTCGAATTACTTTTGTATTTATTACATTAAGGAATCATCGCTTTAGTATTTCAATCTTACTGGAATGTCTTTAAAGTACTAAAACCAAAAACATCATCACTTCTCATATCTACTTGGATTGGCCGAAGTTTGGAAATATTACATGTTTCATACAACACATGTGGTTCACATCTTCTCCTGGCAAAACCTATCAAAAACTACAATGCCAATGCTGTTGGCATGAATATAATTTATTCAACAACAAGAAAAGAATGGAATCAACATTAGGCAGAAGATCATCTATTTCCACCTCTTCATCAGATGGTGGTTCTTCAATAACTTCTGCCTCTTTTGCCAGCTCCTTATTCAAAACCTTTAATGAATATCTATCAATGATGTATTTATGTAGCAAGATGAGGATGAACACCCTCACAAGGTTTAGCAACAGCAAAGGCAGCTATGTAGAAGGTTTGCCTGTAACAGTCCCGTGGAAGATACGACTGGCTAGATTGGCTATATCGTTATGGTTTTTATACATGTTGTGGATTGGAATGTGGTTACCTGCATTGACTTCTCATCAGGAGTATTCTAGTATACTTTCATCTAATAGTACCATAAATAATGAATATAATACTTCACCGTTTGGATTTGAAGGAGGATGGGTATTTAGAGTATTGAATTATCCACTCACTTTATCAACAGATGCCATTCCTTATGAGGGAATAATTGCACTTTCTGTCCTATTTACATTGATTTCATTGGTGAATATTATCTTGATGATTATTGGAATGAAGAAGAGATGTGAAGGAATTTACAAAATATTTGACAAGGTTGGGATGTATTGTTCATTAGTAGTATCGTTTATTGGACCAGTTGCCTTATTTATTATGAGCAGTTTTGTTGATTGTAATCCAAATATTCAAATCAATGTCGAAGATCAGACAGCAAGTGTTTCTGGATTGTCAAGATTTCCATCAGTTCAATGTTATTCTAAAACAAATACTATTTTAATTGTCATGAGTTTGATTGGAATGATGATTACATTTGTGAGTTGGAGTTTCTCTGTGTTTTTATTGCCAATCAATACACCCAATGTTGGAATTCCTTTTGTGACGAAGGATAACTTTATATTGGCACCAACCATTTGCACGATAGGATTGGAATTGTTAATCATGTTCTTCATTCCACCGAATTACATGATGGGGAGAGCGATTGTTCATCTCATTTTGAGCTTTATCAACATTCCTCTCGTCATTTACAGTTTACCATTCTATCATCGAATGATGAATTCACTCTATTTTGGAATTGTTTGTGCAAGATTTGGAGTTAGTATTGGAGTATTGATTAGCTCATTGGTCAATGTAAATCTGTTGAGTGATTTGGGTCTTGGAATGATGGGATTGAGTATTGGATTGGGAATTCTATTTTTCATTCTTGCTTTTACTGCTTTGGAAATTTACACACTTGTTGTTTGCAGACAAATAAGAAATATTTTCAAAACCAAGATTAGTGTCTGTGAAATAACTGAGAGCAGAGCAGATTTATCACTTTACAACATTATTGAAAGAGAGGCAGTTCCCATTTTCATTGTTTGTGAACAATTATCTCTAAGACACTTGATGTTGTTTTTACAATTTTCAATTGGGCAAAATGTGAAACATCACTCCCCCGATCATTACGGTGTGACTATTGTCAGTGATCCATTAATGGCTATTGCTTTTGTGAAATCCATTTCTCAGCAGAAATCCTTCCTTAATACTGAAATGTTGCTCATTTCAAGTGTTTTGGTCAACTACATTTGGCAAGATGATCACAGATCTCAATTTGCAAATTATCTACTGGCAAAGGCTCTTAAACATTGTCATCAAACTTTAAAGAGAGTTCTTATCACTGAAAAACAAAAAGAAATTGAAATTACACTCAACGAGCTAACCAAGACAAATATGGAAGTAAGAAACACAATTACAGAATTAGAAATAACCCTTGCTGAGCTTCGAATTGTTCATAAATCATTCTGGAAGGAAATGTTGAACGATATTCCAAACGAAACCAAACTTTCACAAATTAATAGCAGAGCTTCTGTCCTAACACTATTCTGTGACCAGAATTTCCTCAATCTTACCAAAGCTCACAGTCACGATAAGACAGTGATTCGTTTTTATGCGTCCTACCTTGAGGAATTCAAATTCGATAAGGAACTATCTACTTCATTGTTTGAAGAAGCAGCTGCAATGGAAGAAGAAGAATCGAGATCAAAGAATGTCAATCATCACAATCCACAATCATATTACGAAGCAAAGAAATTCAAGAATAAGATTGTGCCCTCATCCAATGTGGAAATGTCCACCAATAATGAAGATATTAGTACTGAAAGAGATGAAAGTGGTTCAGCCCTAAATGGAAAAAGTCAATTCAATGGGAATGAGATGGATTTCGAAGGTGTCGAAAATCAAGGAATTGACAAGAAGGAAACCTTCTTCAGAACTGCCATCAATGCTCCATTCCAATCCAAACTGAGAATCTCAGTCTTTCTATTCTTGTCAGTTTTGATGCATGTCTTGTTAATTGTCATTTTCATTCTGAGTATTGTTTATAATGAGAGAGTTGTTTCTACTCCTCTTGTATTGCAGAGTTGCATTCCTGGTTCAACACCAGGTGCATTACTAAGAGTTGCAAGAATGAATCAAATCTTGACAGAGGTTTACGCAAATGAAGGACAATCATGGTTAAAGAACTCGAGTCGAATGTATGAATTGAATTATTTCACATCAACCTTCAGAAATCGATATTTGGAGCATAAGGGGTATTTGGAAACATTAATTTCCAATTCACAATCTGGTAAATTTACAAGTAACATGTATAATGACTTTACAGAGAGAGCAAGTCCAATTTTAATTCCAATTTCAACAACAGATCCTAAATCAATTGAATTTGTAAACACCTTCTCAAAAAATGTTTCAATGAGTGAAGTTTCTCAAGAATTCTTGCATCATGTTGAGCAATTTTTGAACTTTGGAGAAAAGCAATACAATGAAACAACAAAGAGTTACAGTTTCATGTACATTTATTTAAATAGAAGATATTTAGCCGATAATTATCTCCAATTCTGCAAGTCATTCCAGGAAAGCGAAAGAGCAAACACTCACCAGTTGAATATTATTTTATTGGCCTATATTTTCACATCCTCCTCAGTAATGACGATGATTTACGTTATTTTCATTTTGATTTCAAGGAGTGAGATGACATGGTTCAGTAAGATCACATCTCTGTACAAGAAAATTCCAAAAGATTTTGTTGGAATAATTTATCACAAATTAGAAGAAAAGACAAAAGATGATGCCAAGCACTTGAAGAAAAATCCTCTCTTGCAACCAAAGGCCTTCTCTCTGATATTGGCACTTCTAATTGTGACAGTTTTCATGTTGTCTTCTGGTTTGATTTATTATGAAATTTCAATGAATATTTCAACTGCTTCATCTGCCATTTACAATGTTGATTTGCTGAGTGTATTTTTGAGAACAGTTCATAGAGTTACTATTAGACTGAATGAATTGTTTATTTACTTGTCATTGCCATCTGGAAAATTCATTAACAGCCCATTTTTGGTTTCGAATAATTCACAATTGCAAACAATGAAAACAGAAATCAGACAATTCATTGATTTGTCGGCAACCATTTATGATCAGGTTATTTATGGCCAAGATGGAATAACAACACCACTCGTTGGGAAATACTCCAAATTAGATAAGATTATTACTGGTCTATCGACTTGCACCAATTCCTCCATTGACTATAATTGGAAATCTAATGGAAACAAAATTATTGGACAAAGTAATGAATTGTTAAAAGATTGTTATGGCCTTCAAAAGTACATGTCTACATTCACAATACTGGCAGGACAAGTGAGCGAGAAGTTCTTCAATCCTTCCTATGCTTCAACACAATCTGAAGAAGCATTCGCAGAATTGCTAACACTATTTAATATGTGTGATATGGTTTATGACAAGTTTAGAGATTTTCTCACAACATTGGTCAGTTTGACATCTCTTCCTTCCACTACAATTTCAATTGTATTCTTGATTTTCGGTATAACTTCAATGCTCATATTACAATACATGATTTTCATCAGTTTCCAAACCTATGATCACGAAATAACCAATATGAAAGCATTCCTGAATTATCTGTCCACAGAATTCATAGAATCAAATGATGGACTCAAGAGTTTTGCCTTGTACAACTCTATTGGAACGAACTATTTGACTGGACGAAAGCTAAAACAATCCTCAGCTACAGATCAAGATTCTTTGAAGAAATTAATGAGTTCAATGGTAGATGGTGCACTATTAGCAAACGAAAATGGAGATATCATTCTATTCAATGGACCAGCTCAGAACATGTTCGGAAAGTCAATTTCTGATGTTCTGGGAACAAACTTTATGCATTTATTTGATGAGCACTCTGGTGAAAAGTTGTCCAACATTTTGAAAACAATCAAGAGTGAAATTGATGAAAATGTCAAACATGGAGATGTTATTGAATTGGAATGTGTTAGAAAGAATTCCACAAAGTTTCCAGCCATGGTCACCATCTTTGTTTCGAGAATTTCTGGCAGCTCTGACAAGGGAAAGAGTAACTCAATGGTTGTTTCATGCTTTATGAGAGATATCACTCCAGAGAAGAAGCAAAATTCACTTCTAGCGGAGGAGAAGAAAAATTCTGAAAATTTATTGAGAAATATCTTGCCAGATGCTGTTGCAAGCAAGTTGAAATCAGGTGAGACATTTATTGCTGAGAGATTTAGTGATATTACTTGTTTCTTTAGTGATATGGTTGGTTTTACGAAAATGTCAAGTGGAATGAATCCAAGCGAATTGGTTTTGATGTTGTCATCCATTGTGAATGGATTTGATGATTTGACAGATGTTTATTCATTGGAAAAGATCAAGACAATTGGTGATGCCTATTTCTGTGTTGGAGGTTTACATAATAATCCACAATCTGATCATCCTGAAAGAACATTGAGATTTGCAATTGATACATTTCAAGTAATTAGAAATTATAATATTGAACATCCTCAAAATCAATTGAATATTCGAGTTGGAATCAATACAGGATCAGTTGTTGCTGGTGTGATTGGAAAGAAGAAGTTTGCCTATGATTTATGGGGTGATACTATCAATACTGCTTCTCGAATGGAATCAACTTCAATGGCAGGAAGAATTCAAATTTCCAGATCGACCTATCAGAGAGTGTATGATATTGGATTTGAATTTGAACAGAGAAGTGTTGAAGTGAAAGGAAAGGGTGTTTGTGAAACCTATTTATTGAAAGATAAACATCATGCCCAGACAGTGGTGACAGAGGAGGAAATTATTGAATTACAACAATTACAACAACAGCAACAAGAGCGTCGTCCTTCTATTCATCCCTCAACAGTTTCTCAACACATATCTTTTTCCGATGAACAAGTTACACCTCATTCTAATAATCAATAAAGTTACTATTAAAACAACAGAG